TTATTTTCGTATCTTTGGTTGTAAATGTTTTATTTTAAATACAAAAGATCACCATGATAAATTTGATTCCAAAATTGATATTGGTATTTTCTTGGGTTATGCACCTCGAAGTAAGGCTTATAGGGTCTTTAATAAACGAAGTCTCGTTGTTGAAGAATCTATAAACGTTACTTTTGATGAGACTAATATTGGTTCTCAAGTTTTTCTACCTAGGAAAGATGATGATGATGATGTTGAGGGAGGATTGGACTTATTGCAAATCAATGATACTCCTTCTATAGAAGCTCAAAAGGATGTGAATAGCTCAAATAACAATGAACAAATTGAACCTTCTAAAGCTTGGAAATTCACATCAAACCATCCAAAGGAACAAGTTATTGGGAGCCCTTCAAAAGGAGTTATTACTCGCTCAAAAGCCTTGAGTGAGTGTGGTAATGTTGCATTTCTATCTCAACTAGAACCTAAAAAGATTAATGATGCTTTAAATGATGAGTTTTGGGTTTTGGCTATGCATGATGAACTAAACAATTTTCATAGAAATGATGTTTGGAAGTTAGTTCCTAGACCTAACAATGCTAGTGTTATTGGTACTAAATGAGTTTTTAGAAACAAACTTGATGAACATGGTATTGTTACTAGGAATAAAGCTCGTTTAGTTTCCCAAGGATACAATCAAGAGGAGGGCATAGACTATGATGAAACCTTTACACCGGTTGCAAGGTTGGAATCTATTAGGATGTTTTTGGCATTTGCTAGCTTTAAAATTTCAAACTATTTCAAATGGATGTTAAAAGTGCCTTCTTAAATGGTTTTATAGAAGAGGAAGTGTATGCTGAGCAACCCCCCGGTTTTATAGATCATGTTTTTCCTAATCATGTTTACCGGGTACAAAAAGCTTTATATGGGTTGAAACAAGCTCCTAGAGCTTGGTATGCTCGCCTATCTAGTTTTCTTATTGAAAATGGTTTTTCAAAAGGATCAATTGATAACACTCTTTTTGTGAGAAAAAGGAAAAATGATTTCATTTTAGTTCAAATATATGTGGATGATAATATTTTCGGTGCAACTAATGAATCCTTGTGCAAGGAATTTTCTAAAGTAATGCAGGATCACTTTGAGATGAGTATGATGGGAGAGCTTACATTCTTTCTCAGGCTCCAAGTCAAGCAAACTAAGGATGGAATCTTCATTACACAAAGCAAGTATGCGAAGGAATTGGTGAAGAAATTCAATTTGGAGAATTCTAAGCATGCGCCTACTCCCATGAGTACTAGTGTTAAGCTTGATGCGGATGAGAGTGGTGAAGATGTGGACCAAAAAGTATACCGAGGTATGATAGGTAGTCTTCTTTATCTCACCGCTAGTAGACCCGATATCATGTTTAGTGTGTGTGCATGTGCACGTTTTCAAGCATCTCCAAAAGCATCTCATTTAATTACGGTTAAAAGGATCATTAAGTATGTTAATGGAACTTTTAACCTTGGTTTATTTTATCCAAGAAGCACCTCTTTTGATTTAAATGGTTTTTGTGATGCCGACTTTGCCGGATGTAAGGTAGATCGCAAGAGTACTAGTGGAACATGCCAATTCTTAGGAAATTCACTTGTTTCTTGGGCTTCTAAGAAACAAAATTGTGTTGCGTTGTCCACTACGGAAGCGGAATACATTACCGCCGGCTTATGTTGTGCTCAAGTTTTATGGATGAAACAAAGCTTAGTTGACTATGATTTGAGTTTTCAAAATATTAAACTTTTTTGTGATAACACAAGTGCTATAAATATTTCTAAAAATTCGGTTTTGCATTCTAGAACCAAGCATATTGATGTGCGCCATCATTTCTTACGCGATCATGTAGAGAGACAAGATGTATCCCTAGTATTTGTTGACACAAAATCTCAATTAGCGGATATATTTACTAAACCTCTTAGAGAGGATGATTTTTGTCGCATAAGAAATGATTTGGGCTTATGCACTATGTGAAAGTTCTACATTGCTTGCTTGTTTAGTTGCACTTCCTATTTCTCTTTACCTCATTTTTTATGGTGACAAAGGGGGAGAGAAATCTCCTCATTTGTTGCATATACTTAGAGAGAGCTCATAGATAGAGGGAGCACCTATCTATAAGCTATTTTATTTTTTCTCTTATAATGGTTGGTTGTCATCATCAAAAAGGGAGAGATTGTTAGACCTTATGTTTTGATGATGTTTACAACCACCATTAACGGTACTAATGGCTTATTGAGTGCAAATGTAGAAAATTTATTTATCAAGCTTGTTAGTGCCATGTATGGAGGATTGGATGAAATATACGCTACAACGATGATATCCAAAGGAGGAGGAGGCATAATGATGAAGCAAAGTTAATTCAAGAACAACAAACTCATAAAGAAGCTTCATCAAACTTAAAGCTATATCAAGATTCAAGAACTATATTCTATGTGAGGATATTAGCTTGTTTTTCTATTTTCTCTCTAGTGCTAGAATGTAGGCAAAGAGTTACTGATTTTACTTGAAGCTATTGGGACTCACACACACTTTTTCGTACTTAAGTTTTTAAGCGTTTTTCATAAAATACTATTTTTTCACAAGTATGATGACCTATCTGCAAAATTCTTTTTCCAAACAGTTTGTTTTTAGTATTAAAAACATTTTATAAAGTTTCATAATTTTCAGAGGTCAAATAAATATTTTGCAAATATTTTAGTTAAGTCAAAATTCAGTTTCTGCAATGTATCAGAATGCGGTCGACCGGACCGGTCGACCGCACCTATGATCATTCGTCAGTAATCTCGATTTCTATATCGGTCGACCGCGCCGGTCGACCGATGATGGCTCTGCTTGTTTTCTAAGTTTTCAAAGTTGTTCGCGGTCGACCGGATTTTCGGTCGGTCGACCGAAGCATTTTTTCGGTCGACCGAAATTCCCTTCGGTCAACCGAAAATCTTTCTTCGTTCAGCCGCGACTTTTTTCAAACGGTTGATTGCCTCGTTTGCTGTACTTACACTTAACCGTGTTTGGCACAGTCTGTGGTAATGGTCTGAAAAGGAGATTATTTTCTTAATTGGGAAGATTGGGTTGTGTTTTCAAAATGTTTAATCTCATCTATTTAAACCCTTTCTCCTTCATCTTTCCAGCTGCCCTAACGTTTGCAAAAACCAGAGAGACTGCTGTCTTTCTCAGAAAATTTTCAAATCTGTTTTCTCTGTGGTTTTTGTGTGTGTTCACTTCCAAGCTTCAGTAATTCTTCTCTTTGCCATAGGGGCTATGTAAAGAGAGAGTTTTGCATCTTTTCTTCTGCTGTGTGAGTGAGATCTTGTGTAGATCAACTGTGAGGGAGTGTGATCTGTTAAGATCAAACTGTGTAGTGAGAGATCGTGTGGGATCGATGTGTAGACGAAGTTCCGGCTTTCAAACCGAGTGTGTAGTAAATTTCTCCTCGAGAGTGGGGAGCGGGGATGTAGGTCAGAGGACCAAACCTCGTTAACACATCGCGCGTCAAAGGATAACGATTCCTAATCCTATCTCCTTTACTTTAATCGCATTACTGTTTTGTGGTTTTCTTGTGTTTGTTTTTATTGCATATTAGAGCCTTTTAACCCTAATCACCCCCCTCTAGGGTCCAACAAGTAAGATGTTATCACAACATTCATTTAGTAATAGTCAAGGACTGAGATGACCCTTAAGATTTCTTGAGATTCATGCAATTTATCATCTTTATTTAATTCCCAGAGAAAATTATTGGAGGACTTAAATCATATTGAAATAGAAATAAGAGTCCACGTCGCATAACGGTGATACTAGTATGTGCCCAATAGCATGTCACGGCGAGGATGGCACCAATGTAAGATGGGGTTAACTGTAGTACCCTGATATGACAGTCCCACATCGATTGCTAACTAAAGCTTGTGATGGTTTATAATGTAATCCATGGAAGCCAAGTGCAGCATCAGCTAGTCGATTTTGGTAGTGGTTTAAGCCAAACAACGTGGTATACTTAGTGGTTCCGTGGTTTACATCCGGCAAACAGGCTCGTAGGCCCGTGGCGTGATAGAATGTATGTATAGGTGTATATAGTATGTATGTATATGTATTATGTACGTATGTAGACACATACATTGTGTGGATGAGTACATATATACGTACATACGAGTGTATGTATCTTGTGTATTTATGTATTTATTTATGTGTCCCTAGTTATGTCTATTTCTTCAGTAACATTATGCAAATAATTTTATCTGATGTTTCAGCAAATACTACTCCCAAAGGACCTTCATCACTGTAGATGTCTCATTCAGGATTCTAGCAACGTGATCCCAAAATCTTGCAATAAATCTGTGCACCCCAGTGACCCCACAGGCAGTTGCTCCACAAATTATACTGACTGTGTTCAACACAAGACACGGATACTTTCAGATATAGTCTCTCAACACTTTATGTTGTTTAGGGACTTTACTCCTGTGATGTTCATGAAGCAGGGTTGTTGGCAAATGCTAGTGACCTCTAACTCTCTGTGCTAGCTGAGATCCTCTCCAGAGTATTCTAAAATTTGGGCGACAGTATGCTATACTGAAAGATCCAAATGATTATTTTGACATCCAACAAATAATCTGTTTATCACCACTCGATCATAATGAATGTGCAGTGTCTCCTTATTGGTACCAGATTTCTCTCGTACTTGCAGCCAATAGGAGCGTGACACTTGTCGACTCTTGCGCGGCATCATCCTCGTGCTATGCGCATTAAAGAAATGTGTAGGAACGTGGCAGAAGGCAACATGTGGAAGTCTACATAATTTATCTATACCTAATGTGCTGAGTGAGCATCCTTCTCTGGTGCCTTTGATTTTATATCTGCTTTAAATACATGTCTAGTGTGACTTGAATGTAGATTTCTGCTGTATCTAGCAATTTTAACAAGATGTATTGTTATTCTGTCAATCTCTCTCTTAAATTGAAATGAGAATTACAGGTTTGAAAATGGTAATGCCCAAGAATGGAAAGGGACTCAAATAATACGATGAAAACTAGATTCATCCCCTTTGATTGAACAATCCAATAGAAGGATAAATGAAACTAGCCAATAACGAACATCAGTCTCTAATTTTATCAATTTAGGTTCAACGTCTGAGGTTATCATCATTGTTGCAGTTTGATTCACTTCGAAAAATAGCTGGTAGTCCACGCGTTGGTACTGGAAATGGGCTATACTCTACTTCATTGTGAGACCCGAAGACCTCCAATCTGCATAACGTAATTTTTGCACAGTTAAAGAATGGAAGTAAGCAAAATAAGTAGAAAGTTTTTTTTATAATGGCTGCAAAATGGCATGGAGAGAAACTTGAATAGCTATTAGAGTATTTGCTGGTATCATCAGCCAAATATGTTTAAAGGAGACTTTCACCGCTCTTATGGAGAAAAGAAAAGATGTTCTAATTTCAGGTTCCATCACTCAAATTCAGGGATAAGTGAGAATCCCGTACGTATTTGCCTTGAATGCAGTTTTGGTTCAGAATAAAACAAGATTATAAAAAAATTACTCTGCGTTTCTCTTTCAACACAGTCCAAATTTTAAGATTTAGATTTTTCTTTCTTTTTGTCTCAAGTTCCTTCATTATCATGTGTAATCTTCTAAAAAAAAGTTTTCATTTTCCAGAAAAAAAGTCCTTCTAATTGTCACAATACAACAGTAAAACCATAATCCATATCCAACAAGGAAAAATAATTCAAATTTAAATAAGCTTAATACACAAACCTGTATTTCGTAACTAAGTGGTGAATGAATATGAACATTTCAAGCTTGGCAAGCTCATTGCCAGGACAGGCATGGGTTCCATTTCCAAAGGGCAAGAATGTATTTGGCTTGGGTGATGCCTGCATTTTACCAAAATGATAGCAACTTTATCAATTCCTAAAATATGAGGAATAAATGCATTTCAAAGTAAAACATCTCTTAATCAAAGACACATACCAAGAATCTAGAGGGGTCAAATTTTTGTGGATCTGAGAAGAATTCCGGATTGTGATGTATGTTCCTGAATAGAGGCATTACCTTCCACCCCTTTGGGATAAGGTAGCCTGTAAATAGAAATTAATTAAATACCAAGCAAAAATATTGAACAAAAAACCATTAGTAAAATATTTATTTTTTCAATCACAACCGTCTATTATTTAGTGGACGATTTAGTGGTCGATTCTGATTCAGCTTGAGTAAAAAGTAGGAATGAGTGCAGATCAGGGGAATATGCTAAGTGTGACTGTGGAAATCGACTCTTTACTGTTGTATTTTGGTTTTTTTTTTCGTTGTCGTCGTCTTTCTCATGTTTACCTTTGTATTCAACATCAGCCACTGCCTCTCTGAATGTGAAAGAAATGATACTTGCCATCCTCAAACTTTCTAGTATAACCTGGATAAGCAAACAGTAACCTTGTGTCAATTACAACCACGCATTTATATACCCAATTAGTGAATTAGATAGTGGATAGAAGCAAGTACTAAACTCAGCTGATTGATTTGAATTGTGAACATACCCTGTGAGTGAGGGCCATGCTTCGTGTTTGACCCCATGTCAAGGGTTGGCTCCCACATCCGTTTGACTCGTATATGGCCATTTGCTCTTCCTGCAAACCAAAGAAAGTTCGGCACATGCTAAATTTTAAGTCTCTTTCATCTCGTAATCGTCAGTTTGAAGGAAAGTTAAATTTAGATTTCTCTCTCCGTTCGATGTATTTTTACCTTCACAGCTTCTAAAAGTTTTTGGTTATCGTAGAGATACTTGATGATCCATGTAAGAACACTCGCCGTTGTGTCCTGCGCAGCAAAAAGAATGCCGATAATGTTATCGGATATCTGGTCATCAGTCAGAAGTTGTGTTCCTTGCTCGTTTTTTGTGTCCATGAAGTAGCCTAGCAAATCCTTTCTAGTTTCTCCCTCCTTCCTCCTCTCGTTAATTATCTCGTGAAATATCCTACTTAGCTCCTTTCGTGCCTATCACAAAACAATTTCGGAAACCAATTGTGAAGTTGTTCTTCCTCTGTGCAGAAGAGTGCCAACCAAAAGAAAAAAAAAATAGAAACCTAGACTTACAGTGATGGCCTTTTTATACAAAGTTCCGGGAAAAATAGTCGGGAAAGAATTATAACCCTTGTCCACTACGAAGTAATTCTTCTTTAGCTCTTTCTTGTAGCGTTCCTCAATCCGACTGCCGAAGATTGTGAGGACACCAACATCAAAGGTTAACTACATAAGAAAAATTGATGTCAGAAAGGAAATAAATAAATAAATAACCGATCACACATTAATTACAGTTATCCGTAGATCGTGACGGGAGATACACTGACCGACCTGTTTCATTGCATGGAAAGTGGTAATGAGATGCCCATCCCAAGCACTTAGCATGGACAAAACAATCTTTTCGATATCAGGAACAAGACTTTTGATCGCTTCAGGTGTGAATGAAGCCAGAACCATCTTTCTTACTCGTGTATGATACTCTCCTTGGTGGAAGAACAGCGCTGATGGCCCGATCATCTTCTCCTTGCTGCGAGGGTACGTGGGCTTAAAAAGATGAGCTTGGGTGACCAACACGAATCGCGCTGCTTCCGGGCTTGCCAGCATCACACAAGGGCAGCCCAAAATGTGGGTCTTGAAGATCTCTCCATACCTGTACGTAGTTTCATTGATCACGTCAGAGGAATAATGCAGAGCCCTTTTAAAAGATACAGAAAAAGAAATTATTTCAAACCTTTTCTCTTTTGTTGCGAAGAAGAGACTAGGGTCTTGCGAATAGAGCTGAGGGGTTTCTCCTACGTAGGGCCATCCCATTGAGCCAGGAGGGAGCTTTAGCTTCATCTGATGAGTTTTTCTCTTGTGCTTCATTCTGAATAAATAGGAGAGAATGGCTACGAGGAGGACAGTGTAGATAAGGATGTAGGCCATCTCCATTTCTGAGATACAAAAGCTTTGTTGGTGTTTAGAATTGAGAAGGAAAAGTGTTATGGTTGGGGTTTTGAGACGATGGTAGGGGGTTTATATAGGGAATGAAGAGGAAATGTATGGGGACAAAATTTCAGGGGAAGAGGTTAATGAGGAAGGCAT